TTGTTTGTTCATAGAAACATTGTAGTACATTTTATAATTTTAATAAAATACGTTAAATATGTCAAGTTATTGCGTTATTGACAATACAACAGCCGGTGTTATCGGGTAAGCCATATATTGAAGTTGGAGAATTATTATGAGAAAAAAAATGACTTCGTCTTCCCGTCTTATCTTTTTATAACACTTTCTGAGGGGAATTCCGAGCAACTCTGATTACCCGAATATTTTTTGAGCGCACTCTTTTAACTATAGTTTATAACTAAAGTAAAATATTGTTACGTTTATATATTATGTCTTCGGCGAGAAGATTCAATACACAACGTGCATTGGTTTAATAAACATAATTTAAAGTTAAAATGATACATTGACATTATTATTGTTAATATTACAAAAAACAAATGAATGGTTGATAATAAAACTAATTAATTTTTTTTTAGTAGGTATGCACAAAAAGGAATAGAAATGGTACAAAAAGTGTTTGGCTGGTAATAATTAAATTTAAAATTATTGCAAAATTAAATTTTAAATATTTAAATACAATTTTTTTAACTAAATTATATAAGTCTGAAATATATTGCTTGTTAAAAAACTGATACAACTAAGTTTAACAGTGAAGGAGACACGTACTGCACAGGTGTACACATACCTACAGTAAGTTCAGTTAGTCGTTGAAAAAATTAATTTTTTAGTGACATTAAGTAAACATTGCGAACGTGACGGTTAGTTTTTGCGCTGATTGTTGCGTCTACTATACAACATTTATCTAATAAATTTAGACGTTTAGTTTTGCTATAAACTAGGCAGGCCACGTTCAATTTTTTTATGTTAAAATATTAATAATCTAAACGATTCATTATGGGAAAAAGTTTGATATTGAAGATTTTATTTGCATTAGTCGTAATTTGCGTACAAGAATGTACGAGTGATTACAATTTGGACGAAATCGACTATATTTGGCAAGCGAAACATTGGGATCAGGTGACGTGGTTCGATAAGATAATAGGAGCCCCCATCAAGAAGAACAAACGTGTGGACGTAGAGGTGAAAAATCAATTATGGACTCTGACTAACATCTCGATAGCCGCTAAGATTAAAATAATCTCTTTATTAATGGAATGCGTTTACGGAAAGGAATTGGTTGACTTTCTCTGGATATCGACATATACAGTAATCCAGTGCGGCGAATTGTTAAAAGATGGTGATAATAACGTTGTGGATTGTTGGCAAAAACTTGAAGACAGTCTCAAAAAAGGTGCAGTTATTACATACAAATTATGGGCCATGAATGAACGGCTTAGTAATTTAGACAAAAGGATTATCGACGAAAACCGGTTTTACAAAATTCTGCCGCAGGTTCGTGAATTACTTAATCGACCACAACCCTATCTCACAGTAATGGTGTCCGAAAGTTTATACAAAGACATCGAAGATTTAGCTAACCTGTTGGTTACCGAATGGAACAAAAACTGTCACCAATCATACTCTGTCGTCAGTCAAGAGAAGTTGTTAGAGGTTGAAAATGAACGTCCCGATTTAAATGAAACTCCAAAACCTCTTCATGATTTGTATGTAGACAAATTGAATTCTATCATTAATTTCATAAAACAACACTCGGAAAAAATTGGTTATCGATACAACCCGCCCGAAAAAACTGTTACTTTTTCTAATCCGACCAGAATAGATGGAATTTTATCCAGTCACCAAAATTAAGTAAAACGGTAAAACAGATAATATTTTTTTTGTCATATAAAAATTGTAGCCAGTTTAAAATTTTTTAATAAACTCCATTAAATAATATGTCATGTTTTTGTGTTATAACTCTTAAGGTATACCACACTTTACATTATATTTTCGATAGGAAAAATTTGCAAATATTTTCAGTAGCGACCGTTTACCAATACAAATTAAGTTCATAACTAAGAAAGGAAATATAAATAAAAATAAGACAACAGCCAGTGCTATCTGGTAAGCAATATATTTAAGTTACGAGTGGAGAATTATTATGAGAGGAAAAAATACTTCGTCTGCCCGTCTTGCCTTTTTATAACTCTTTTTGAGCAACTGCAATGAGCTTACAATGATATGGGCTTTTTTGTTTTTTTATACACTGTAACTTTTTCAATATTGGGTTAAAAAGCAACTCTATAAATCACAAATTTCATCTAGTTGGTACTTTGGAAGGGAGGGGGGAGTTTACTTTTTCACAGTTAAAATTTGAAAAAACAAAAAAAAAACCATAAGAGTTTTAAAGTTAGAACTTTTACTAGCTATAATTTTGACAAATAAAACTAATTATTTTTTTTGTAAAGTATGAAAAAATAGTAGAAGAAAAGTTGAAATAATTTTTTTGGCTGGTAACCATTAGAATTAAAATTTTGCTAAAATTCAATTTTAAATAATTAAATACAACTTTCATTATAAATAAAATATTCATGAAATAAATGTCTTGCTAAAAAAACATATTATGCCTGTCAATTGACGCGCAACGAATTAAGTTAACAATGGAGAACGTGCACAGGTGTTAAAACACAGTAAATTCAGTTGACGGACAAATTATTTCTTGATATTTTTTATATGTCTTAAACAAATAAATGAGTTTATGACAGTTGCTTTTTGCGTGGAGTATTTGTTTTTACTAAACAACAAATATATAATAAATTCAGACATTTTAGTTTTGCTGTAGACTAGGTAGGTCACATTCGGTTTTTTATATTAAAATCTTAATAATCTAAACGATTCGTTATGAGGAAAAGTTGTGTTGTAAAGATTTTATTTGCATTGATTGTAATTTGCATACAAAAATGTACCAGCGATAAAACGGTGGAACAAATCAAATATCTTTGGCAACCGAAACACTGGGATCATATGACGTGGTTCGATAGGATAATAGGAGCACCCATCAAGAAGAACACACGTAAAGGCGTAGACGTGAAAAATCAATTATGGACTATGACTAACATCTCGATAGCCGCTAAGATGAAAATAATCCCTTTATTAATGGAGTGCGGTTACGGGAAAAAATTGATTGACTTTCTCCGGATATCGACCTATACAGTAGTCCAGTGTGGCGAATTGTTAAGTCGTGGTGAAGGTAACGCTGTAGATTGTTGGCAAAAACTTGATTATAGTCTCCAAAAAGGTGCAATTATTACATATAAATTGTGGGCCATGAATAAACAGATTAATGCATTAGACAAAAGGATTACCGACGACAACCAGTTTTACGAATTTCTACCGCAGATTCATAAATTACTTAAGCGACCACAACCTGGATTGACAGCAAAGTTATACGATGATATCGAATCTTTAGCTACATCCTTAGTAATCGAATGGAATAAAAGCTGTGAACCATCTTATTCTGTCATCAGTCAAGAGGAGTTACAGGGTGAATATGAACGCCCCGATTTAAACGAACCTCCAAAACTTCTTTATGATTTTTATGTGGACAGACTGAATTCTACCACTGAGTCCATAAAAAAGGATACGGAGGATATTGGTTTTCAATACAAGCCGTCCAGAAAAACTGTTATTTTTTCTAAGCCCACCAGAATAGATGGAAGTTCATCCAGTCATCAATAAATATGGTTAAACGGGAAAACAGATAAGATAATATTTTTTCTTGTCATATAAATATTGTAATCCGCTTTAACATTTTAGTAAAATGCATTAAGTATGTCATGTTATTGTGTTGTACAAATCTTACGGTGTACCATATTTTAGATTTTATTAAGAACAATTTGCAAATATTTTCAGTAGCGACCGTTTACCAGTACAAATTAATTTTATAACTAAGAAAGTAGATAAAAAAAAAATAAAAGTCGATGATGGAATATAAAACTCCCAACTGATCATTATTCAGTGAACTACATGTAAATTATGAAATCTCTCAAAACAATTTAATGACCAACCAAATATTACAGTGCGTTGGCCAAGACAGATCATTTTAGGTATCAATAAAATGATAATGATGATAATGAAAGAAACAAACACTAATTTAAAATATTTTTAAAAAAATGCAATTAGTAAAAGATGGGAGTAATATATTGACAATACAACAGCTGGTGTTATCTGGTAAGCCATATATTTAAGTTAAGACTGGAGAATTATTATGAGAGAAAAAATGACTTCGACAAATAATAGGTATATTACATATAAAGTGTTCAATATCTCAAAAAATTATTAAATTAAAACCAAAATTAATGGTTGTTTATAAAATAACTAATTATATTAAAAAGTATGGAAATATAACAATAGTCATGGTATTATCATTTTTTGGCTGGTATTCATTAAAATTAAATTTTAAGTACAGGGCGATTCTTTTATCATGGGCCATTCAATATCTTACATGGCTTAAAAATAATTAAACATTTTTTTATATAGTTTTTATACAATGTAATCTCAATTTTCACAATTTTTTTTACTTTTACCATCCCAACTTTGTTATTTTGATAGAAAACTTTTGAATTTTTAATGATAACGCATACATTTTATTATCTTTTTAAATTAAGAATACTAAACAGTTGACTAGTCGATAACCAGTTTCGGATAACTATTTTTGAAGTTACTAAAGTTTCGAGTTTAGGGGAGGATGAAAGGTTGAGTGTAGTATTACATTTATCTGCGCGCACTTCCCCTCCCGCCCTAACTATAACACTTAATTTTTTTTTCTAAATTAAATATGTTTAAAATATATTACCAGCTAAAATAACTGTTAGTGCCGATAAACGACAGAACAAATTAATATAACTTCGAAGACACGTGTACAAGTGTTAAAATAGAAAACATTTAGCTTGTCGTTAGAAAAAATATTTCAATAGTGACATGATATTCTTTTGATGTATGGCTTGAGATATTTCCAATAGGTGGCTTCCGCACACGCCAACGTACAAAATTATAAGAAAAAAAACTTATTGTATATGGATATGTATACAGATTGTTTTTGTAAATAAAAAAATATTTATATAAATATATTCCTTAAGCAAATAATGAGTAGGCGTCGGTTGGTTTTAACATGGTGTATTGTGTCTACTACACAAGACATATTCCGCAAATTTATACAATTTAGCTGTTGCTACAGACTAGGCAAGTCATATTCGTTGTATCAAGTAAAAAATTTAAAGTTATCAACGATTTACCACGGAAAAACATTTTATTGTAGTGATTTTATTCGCGTTGGTCGTAACATGCATACAAAAATACTACTACACAACGCATATTTAATACATTTAGACATTTTAGTTATTACTAAAGACTAAGCACTAGGCAGGCCACATTCGTTTTTTCATGTAAAAATCTTAAAAAGCTAAACGATTAATTATGAAAAAACGTTTTACCATGAAGGTATTATTTACGTTAGTGGTAACATGCATACAAAAATGTACAAGCGATGACAAGATGGATGAGATCAATCATCTTTGGCAAGCACGACATTGGGATGAGATGAAGTGGTTCAATAAGATATTAAGAGCGCCCGTCAATAGGAACACCTTTAAGGACTTGGAACTGAAAAATGAATTATGGACCTATCCTGTCCACTCATTAGTCTCTAAGTTGAAAATAATTCCTTTATTAATGGAATGCGGTTACGGAAAAAAATTGATTGACTTTCTCTGGATATCGGCCTACACAGTAACCGAGTGCAAAGATTTGTCAGAAGATGATGAAGATTGCGCTAGAGATTGTTGGCAAAAACTCGACGACAGACTCAAAAAAGGTTCGCTTACTATATTGATATTGTTGCGCACATACGTGCATATTATTGGTCTAGACCGCAGACTTACCGACGAGAATACATTTTACGACACTCTGTTTAAGTATTCATGATTTTTTTATGCAGCCAAGCTCCTACGCGAAAGGCGGTCTCACGGCATTGGGGGCTGCACATTTTTACGAAGATATCAAAAATGTTGCCACGTACTTGGCGAACATTTGGAACGAAACCTGTCAACCAGCATACTCCATCGTCAGTCAAGAGCAACTACAGACTCAATATGAACTTCAACCTCGCATCGGAGGCCAAGTTGCAATACCGAACCTCTACGATTTTTATGTAGACCGATTGCATTCTTCCATGGATTTCATAACAAACCATATGCGCAATATTGGTTTTCAATACGAGCCGAACACGAAAAAGGTTACTTTTTCTATACCCGTCGGAAGTTCATCCAGTCCTATTGACCTAACCTAACCAGTGAATTAAGTAAAACGGAAAACCATTTTTTTTTATACATATATTATAAGGTAATATGACAATAAAAATTCAATAAAATGTCAAAATTGAAAAATAATCTATTTTTTGTTATGTGCTATGCAATTGAGCATTATTAAAAACTAATCAACATAATTTTAGAAAAACTATCGTTTCTTTTATAGAAATATCCTAAATGTTTTATTTGATATTTTAATTTTGCTTTATTATGATATTTCTATTATATTTTAGTTTTTATCAAACGAATAACTTAGACTTTAAAGTAAGGACTTTAAAGACAGACTTTCAATTTTACTTCAATTCAATAGTCGTTTATATTATAATAATATCTAAGACGGTCAATAAGTAAAACAACACATAGGGCGTGAACATTTAGTTGCCTATACAATACGCCTGTTCTAACTGAATTTTTTTTCAAATTCATTGTAGTTGACTTTCAAATGATACCAAACCACGAATTTCCGGTAAAAAACTATTTTTTTAAATTAAAAATGTTTTTATTATTACCTAATACAATGTCTTACAAATAGTTTAATGAGAAATTAATGTATCTCAGACAGAAATTATGAAAAGGTAATGCTTTAAAAATATTACAAAAACGCTTACCAATTAACAGATTAAAACATTTGTTCTGTTAAATATATCTGTTTTATATAATGTATGGAATTCAACGTAGTGAAAACAAATAAATTAAAACAACCTGACAAAGTTAATTAAATGTATATTTAAAAAATGCTACACCATTTTATTGTTAAAATATTATTGATTATCATGTGATATTTTTTTAGAAGTATTTTGCGTGGTTTACAATTTTATTAATTACTCGATGAACTTAATGTAAAAAATAGCTAATATACCACTATTGTAAGTGGCCTTTTCCTTGATATTGTTATGTTTAGGGTAGGTATTGTACGTGACAATATAGAGCAACAATAAAAAAACCCTTACAAGTTTTATAGTACCTATTATACAACTATCAACAACAGCTGTTGTAACACTAACGAGAGCACAGGTCCACAATCAGGTTCTAAATAGTCGTTAAACATTTCCTTATTAGAAGATATAAGGTTAGGTATATATTAAAAAAAAACAATAAACAGAGAATGTTTGCACGGACTAAAATATTAATTGGCTATATTTGGAATTTTACTATTTTCTTATTGAACTACATAATATAATATTAGTCGTCACGAGTCATTTTTGAATATTAACCGATTTGGATGAAATGATCATCTGAAAAAAATAAAATTACAACTCATAAGTAAAAAATCATAAGTAGAGCTTATAAAAATATTACCTATTATAAAATATATGCTAAAGTTGTAAGTAACTAGGGAGTTAGGTTATAACCTACTGTACTGCTAAGACCGAAAAATAATTGTATAAATAACCCCGGGTAGTTTTAGTTTAATTTTTGTTTTATTAATTATACTGATTTAACTGGATCCCAATTTTATAATTCAAATCGTATACAATAATTATTGTTATTGTATAGTTAGTATAGTTATATATTAGGGCTAGGAAGTATATACTCTGTACACTATGCACTTAAAATATTTGTTCATTATATTTTTAAATATTGTTTTGAAGCAAAATTTCAAAAGTTAGTAAGTTTTTTATCGTATAAAATTAAAACCTAGTCATAACCGAAAAGTCTATCAAAAAAGTAATTGTAATATACAATATTTATTTTTTTCTAATAAATTATACATAATAAAATTACAATTTCTTTAAAAAAAAATTGAAACAAATTACCTAGAAAACAAAATAAGTTTACAATTTTTTTTTTGTTTTTCATCTGATAATATTAATTTATGTTATACAATAATTCTCTATTCTTCTAAAAAAAAAAATTGTTATATTATGTTCAATATTTCATTGATACTTTAAGATAAAAAAAAAATTAAAAAATATGCATTAGTATGAAAAAACCTCAACATATGTTAAAATAAACTATAGAGTTTGGATTCTTTAAATTGTAATTAAAATATCTTATATAGTTTTTTTTAAGCATCCAGTAAAAACATGCAAATGCACAAACTTCCGAGTTCTGATTAATTTCTTAAAATTAACATTCGAAGGTACATCGTTACACAATTTTTTTTTTATATATACATCAAACCTGGTAACATACCTTTTATTTCCTTATTTTAGTACCAAATTTCAGAATTCATTTCTTTGATCGTCGATTTGTTTTTTTTAAAATGGGCACGATTGGGTCGATGAAAGCATTTCCCTTCGTGACCTGTCCGACAACGACTATGTTCAAGGAGTTCTTTTCGATGGCCATTTTCAATTTTTGTAATGAAAGTTGTCTGCAGACAATTGTCGACGTTAATGCGATGGAAACTATAAGGCGTATTACAACGGTCGCAAGCGTGTTCAAGCGGTTTATATAGGATTTTTAAATAGGTCCAAAGTCCTATAGATCAAACAGTACAAGGATCGTCCGTGCATTATAGTAACAGTGTAGGTATTGGCCATTGTCGGTTTTTTTATCGAGTACATTGAACCATCGTCGGCGCAGATAGGATTATATAAATGATGTTTTTATTTTATCAAGAAGTTTACCCAATTACTTATCTACCATGAATATATTAGCATAATATTATTATTTCCACACAAGAAGAACCGATAGAGTTTTCAATAATAATTTCAATATTCTAATATCAGGTATAACTCACACACTATGAGATCGAATGAGTTTTTTTTTTAAATTTAATATGCAACATGGCATTTAATTTATCTTATCAGTTCATATTACTTTATACTGTAAATTACCTTTTCAGCCCTCCCTTCCCATTGCCCTCCAAGATTACTTTAATCACCCACAACACAATTTGTGTCTGAACGAAAGTTTCCCATACTATGTAATACTTACTTGTAAGTTAGTAGAAAATCTTGTAAAAGTTTGGTAATGAAAAAATTATTTTAACGCCAGTAAGTAAGGGTTCATCAAAACTTAATATTTAATATAAAAAAACCTGATTTTGATTATGGTTCATATATTTTGTTTTCAATATATTCTAATTGGAGAACTGTTATTTAACAAATAAATATTATGTTCTATAATATTCTATTTCACGTCATTAAATACAGCAAAGCTTTCAAGTATTTTCATACTTCATACTAAAATTGACACAATATGTAGTCTAAAAACGAAACCTGTGCCAGTATATTCCATATAAATGTTTAAAAGTTGACATATTATATTATTATGTATATTATTACTGTCCATAATTAAAAATAATAAGAATAACGAAAAAACTCATTTCAAATTAGTACACTTATTATTGTTTATATATGTTACCGTTCGTCCGTTTAAAACTCTGATAACCTAGCTTAAACCTCTATATTATAATGACTCGTTACGGTATTAGATGTTATTTTTAGGTAGCCTCATTTTTTCTTTAAAAAAGAAAAACATACTTACGAAAATAACGATATTCGTTATCATCCTACATAATGAGGTCGAGGAGGTCACAAGTTTTAAGTACAACATAATACTACAAACTAAAATGAAGAAATCACTCGAAAAAAAATGGTTTGATAAGAGTTTGTTGGTAAATCGATTGATGTCGAAAACATGTTAATATATAACTATAATTAATAACAGTGTACTTATAGAAGATAGAGATTTTTAGCTCTTGGATCCCAAAACTGGCGCTCTAATGGAAATAAAAAATATTTTTTTAGACATTTTTGTTTTTGTACTGTTTACCGGTTAGGTTTAATTTCAAGTTCCTTCCAGTATATCTTGTTGTTGTATCCTTGTTGGTGTACACCAAACATTATGTTTCTTCAAAAATAATATTTTTTTTTTCCGAGTCATTGAACCCAGACCCACGCAACGTCAAAAGCATCATAGATTTCATATACAATTCCAAGCTTATCAACAAAATTTAAAAATATAACTGTTTCTTTCATAAAATTACTCATATATAATGCATAAGATTGTTATTTAATTATGTAAAATAATGACAATCCAATGACCACAGCTGTCGCGGACTATATTTAATAAAAAAAAAAAAAAATATTGTTTTTTTATATTTACCCATATTTGCCACATAGCATAAAAATAAACTTAAAAAAATTATTATTTAAAAAAGTATAACAGTTGAGTGCAATAAAAACGTGGGTTTTATAGCGCAAATGAGTATAAATTAATTAAAAATAAAACAAAAATCCTAAAATTGGTGGGCGAAGGCCAAAGCATGTTATACCTATATAATATATTTATCATAACACTCAAGTAAGTCGCACTGTGCTCATTACCATAATAAATAAATTTTAATAATTTTATATTTTTTAAAAAATGTTTTGTATTATATTAAGACTATTTTACACAAACAGTAAGAGAATTTGTACATCGTTTACTTACATTTTATTAATGGCTGAATAATATAAATACTATACTAAACTCAAATGAGCAGCTAATTAATTTGTAAAATCATAATTTGGATATGAGTAGGTATTATTATTCCGGATATTATAAGACAGCTGATTCTCGTTTCTTATTTTTCTTTAACTTTTCTTCGGTAGGTCCAGTGCCTTTTTTCTTATATTTAAGAAGTCTGCGTATGTTTTCCCATTGAACTCGCATATTCCTTTTACGAGTATCTTATATAGAACTAAATCTATTTCATCTACAACAAATCAATTTATTTAAATTCAAATATATATATATATTTATATAATAGGTAAAGCAATATGTATATATCACTACGCTCTCTACCTTAACTTAATTTATGTTAATAGCAAATTTACAAATCCCAACTAACAACGCATTCAGTTATATCATACCGTCGCAGATTGTGTTCTATTCAGGCGAATGTTGGTTACAGAACAAAAACCCTGATTGATAAATTTAAATATAGCATAATTGCCATAAAGGAAACGTAATATCCACTGTTAACCTAATATTAGTTATTTAATATTGAAATAATTCATTTTAGGTATGATGTAGACCTAAGAAGGTTTTATGATAAATATTTATCAAGCTTAAGGAAAAAATAACAAAAAATGCATATTTCCATTCCAAAAAATATTATTGAATGGTAAATTATGTATAGTCAATTGTTACTTTCGGTTTCAGCGCCAATTTGAGTCGCATTCAAGTAGAATATTGTGAAAGCTTCAATTTCTTGACAACCGGAACCGTCATCAATATTCGACATAAATTCACGCAGTCAAATAGTAGGATTTGAAGACTTTTTCAACCATTTTCTACAGTCATCGAAAGACGTTTCTAGTAGCTGAAATATTTTTTTTTAACTTATGTTATTATTTTTTTTATAACATAAAGAAATCTTTCTACAGTTTAAATAAGTTAGAAGCAATAGTAACAACAATATAAATCCACAAAAAAAATTACCAGCTATTACTCTACGACTTTTATTTGGTATAAACTATTTTTTTAACAGTTATTCACAACGAAGATTTTGATTAGTGGTTTATATCAATTCGCATACTCAAATACTTCATCAAAGGGGATGCGATCAAAATATTTCTTCCATTCTAGCACATACACGTGTGTAAAATTGAACATAACTAAATATAAATAAAATACACATTTTACCAAATCTATAAAATAGATATATATATATGTGTGTGTGCGTTTATTTTAAATAATTAAAAAAAAAAAACACTATATAATTTTACTTTTTTGTGTTTAATTAATTTGTCGAACAGTTATGAATAAAGATTACAACTTTTTTCACTAGCTTGAAATCTATTTTTAAAATATTATGTCTAACAGCCCTAAAAAATATACATTGAAGATTATATTATTAATATTTTTTGTGGTGTTAAACAATTTCCTAGAATGGAGAGAGGTAATGTGGTACCACTGTGTTCTGTCCTTGACCTAAACAAAATAATTCTCAAAAAAAAAACTATTAGACATTTTTTTTCTAATTAGGAAAGTAGACTTGTCCCCTTTTTTAGTAGGCGATTATGATATTTAAAATTGTATACAAGCAAATAAGAGTACTTTCTTAAATTCAAATGTTTCACAGCTTCTCATCGAAGCAAAAATATGAAATATATTAAATAATAAATGAATAATTGTAGTTAATAGCTACATTGGTTTGCAGGGCCAGGTTGAGTCTCATTCAAGTAGGGTATTGTAGAATCTACAGGATTTTGAATCCGGGGACTGCCACCTACTTACGACAAAAACTCATACAGTGTAACAGGTTTGTCAGTTTGTAGGGTTTGTATAGGTTTGTTCAACCATTTTCTACAGTCATCGAAAGACAATTCTAGAAGCTGAATTGCATTGACAAAAAAGAACTCGCGGCACGGGAACAGATTACGAGAAGTTATTTTTGTCAAGCTGCAGAAGATTTAGGACTCGCCAGTGCATCCGACATCAATAGAAAATTAAACGAAATAGAAGTTTCAAAAGACCCCCATGAGTCGCACGAGAGTATCGAAATGAACCTATACGATTACGTTGAAGATCTAGTACATGCATTAAAGCCAGTCGAACTTTCATTTATTCGTGTGATACTGTCCGCTGAAGAAAATGACACCTTTTTTATGCATTAGACGATTTAAAAATAAAATATAAATAATAGTTTTCTTCTTTTCTGTTTAAACATACCTATAAATAATGATTATGATAACTGTGCTGTAATATTTTTTATTTAATATAAGCACTTATAAAAAAAGTGACTACAGACATAAATACAAAATCTCACGTCGCTAATAAGATTGTAGGTGAGATATTTTTGTTTTGCTTATAGCTTACACACACCTCACATGGTTGTTGGTCATAACCAGACCAATTAATCAACGTTTGGGTTATAGTTGGCATAGATCAAGTCGTAGAGCTGGCACGTCAATAATGCACTGCGTTTTAATTAAATTTTTTAATACCTACCGAGCAATTTCATTGATATTAAAATCATCCGTTGACGTTATAAAATAAGTGTGTTTACTAGTAGCAGTATACAGTAGTACTGGTAATTGGGTAAGTACAAATACAAATACCAATAAAAACATTGTACCAAATGACAATTATAAGTTTGAAAATTAATTTTTAGTATTAAGGCGAACACGATTAGGGTCTGCCTATAAAAATGTACCGCCATGGTTTCCAAATAATAATATATAATTAGCAATATAATGGAATTTTTTTCATTATCTGTTGACTTAACTTCTTAATAACTTATCTCGTCTACAGACACAAAACAATAAGATCATTACAACACCTTAGCTCCGAATCAAAGCTAAGAAAACAAGAAAATTAAAAAAGAAAAAAAGTGCCAACGGCACGTAGTGTTCCCAAGCGGTCACCCATCCAAGTACTAACTACGCCCGACGTTGCTTAACTTCAGTGATCGGACGAGAACTGGTGTATTCAACGTGGTATGGTCGTTGGCGTTAGAGGAGAGTTTATTTAACTTATTATCAAAAAACATTATTGAATAATTAAAATATAATATAAATAATAACCTATTGTTTTACACACTTATTTATGTATATATTTTTAAATTAACACAATTACCTAACTTGAATAAAAAAAAACCTTTTTTTATTAAAAATAATATTCAAAATACGCCTAACTCGGGTATCGTTTTTTGGTATCTACATTTTGAGATGACTGCGCATCATTTTGAGAGTATAGATAAGGACAAACCGATATCAATACCTGACTT